TAGTACTAGCCATTATCAACATTCTTGGGTCCAAAAAAAATCTGAATTAAATGGAAATATCACTCCTGGTCTCTTCATCTCTGTAATTGATTCATTAGGGGGTGGGGTAGGGAGGTGTGACTTATGTGACAACACACACACAACAGATGAGCTGAGAGTATTTGAGTCCATTTAAGGATATTGAACATGTCTGATATTACTGTTCTTGGGATCAACTTTTATCAATAAAAGTGAAAGTTATTTACTCAAACAAAATTGAAATTAACCAGACGTTAGTATAATGTTCAATGCACAGCTTTATTGCTACTTTTACTTTTAAAGAGGCGGATAAACACTCATTTATCAAAGAACCAATTTTGACAATCAATCCATAAATCTAAACCTTTTTCTTCGATTATTGAACAAATACTATCACTACACCAATGCATAAGCAGCTAAGACTCTTGGTCATTACGCTTTTCGTCTTTTGTCCCTATTTCTACACCCACTTGTACAAAGCGCTGTTTATGTTGTACTTCTGATTGTAGTAGTTTACTACTGCCAGATAAGTGTGACCTTTGTATTCAAATGATGTCATATCACGAGCTCCATGGGTGGAAATCTCTTGATACTTGACGAACTGTGATCCAGAGGCCTGGTACACAGCTGACTGAATGTTTTTTTTCTGGCTGCCGCTTTGGAAATTGGCCACACCCAGGTAGGTATGACTGCTGATCACGAAAGGATGCCAAGCGAGGGCTCCACGAGTAGGAATGGATTGGAAAAGAACGAACTTGGTACCATCCCATTTATAAACAAACGAGTCAGTGTTGTAGGAACTTCCAGAGTAGTAGCAAGCAAAAGCGAGGAATGTGTGACCATTGATATTAACAGACTTAACGTCATATGCACCATAAGTTTGAAGAGACTGCAGTTTGACAAAGTGTCCTCCTGACCACTTAAAGACAGTGGACTGAACAGAATACTTCTGTTGAGAGTTGTAATAGTTGGCGAAAGCGATGAAAGTGACATTGTTTATTCCAAATGCCGTACATCCCATGGCACCTTCAGTTGCTATCTCTTGGAACTTGTTGAACTTAAAGCCATTCCATTTGTAGATGACTGACTCTGTTGAGTAGGTACTTTCGTCTTGACGATTTGCCACTGTGAGATATTTTTCTCTGTTTGATGTGAAGAACTTGAAGTGTGCAGCTCCTTTTGTTGGTAATTTCTGAAACACCACAAACCGCCGTCCGTTCCACTGGAAGACTACAGAGTCAAGTTGGTACGTACCATCCCAATAATTAGCCACAGCAAGGAAATGTTTGTCAGCGATAGAAAAGTACTCAACGCCATGTGCACCTCTAGTTTGTAGGGTCTGGTACAATGTGAACTTTTCAGTCGGTTCATCCATCTCATTCAATTTTACAATGTGTGTATCCATGATGGATGCTTTGTAAGTTTCTTAATCAATAAATCAATCATTTTTGTTTTAAACTGTCTGTTTAAAAGGAAACCAGAAATATCATAATGCCAAACAGCTGATATTATCACGATGGTATATAAATAAGTGAATGGAGCTTTTAAAACGGAAAACTGAACTTCAACAGAAAAAATCAAATCGAAATCTCTTACATGTAAGTCGCGGAGATCGGGCCTTCGGCTATTACTCGTTAAAAAGCTAAATTTAGTACCTGCTAAAAGTAGTAAGCCTTAGTAAACAAAACCTGGTTTATGGTAATTACACGATGCCTATTGTTTGCTTACAGGCGGGGCTTCGGACTTTGTTTTTCACAAATACACCAACTTACACGGTCAACTTTGTTACATAAAAACAATGGAAGGTTGTTGTTCGTTCAAGTCGCTTATCGGCGGAGTTTGTTGTTACAACACTAGAGATCGAAAGCGTGAAACGGAAATTGTTCCTTTACTTTCATGCACCAAGAATATCGCAAGTCATAAGTCGGCTTTCAAATTTACCGGTCCTGGAGATGTGATCGACCTTATTTTGTGCCGAGCGCACATACGTCGGCCCCTCTTTAGTTTAAGGTTTTAAACGGTACTTGGGTCTGTTAACAGTGGTTAATAGTACCACTCCCTTTTGCAAACCCCACCCATTGGCCACGGAACGTAGCACCCCTGCCTCACATCCCCACGTCTGTGTTTTGTAGCATGGTGCAGCAAAAATGTATAAAAGGTTCTCTTTCATCCTATTTAGGGTATTCCTTGCAATTTTTAGTGGAGAGAAAACACCCCTAACGAGTACGAAAGGTACAGAGCGCCAAAAAAACAAAAATAATAAATGTTTTTCATCAGAAAAAAGATGGCACTATTACAAAAATGGTTACAGAATAAAATATTTTGTAGGTTCCAAGAGTTCAGTTCTGAAAGTGCTTAATTATATGGAGTTTTGCCCTTCACCTACCCCCTAAAGTTCCTTTGTCACCGGTATTGCGTAACAACCCAAATACTTAGGGCGTACATGTTTGTAGACAACTCAGTTTAGCATTGAACTAGACCCTGTGAGCAGGGTAACTGGGATACCTGGATGGTACTGGATCCTTGGAATCAAGTGTAGTGATACTACGGGTGTCAGACTAGTATACTGAAATAGTGCGCTCAAGTCTGGCCAAGGGCATACTTTTTTGTAGGGTGGGTGGATTACTTGAAACATTGTGAGTGATGTCTACATTCTTACAAAAGGAGAGAAGAATATTAATGTGGGAAAGAACGAAAATGTCGAATTACCTCACTCACAGGTGGTAGATTATGTGTGTTTTGCGAATAAATGTATTGGTGCCACAGATACCTGTTAGTACAAAATGCAGACAGCAGACTGCAGACCGGATACAAAATATAGACTGCAGACTGCAGAGTGGGTAAAAAATGTAGACTAAGACTCTAAAGAGTTTTTACGTCTAGTATATAATAACATGTCATCTTACAGCTCACCGAGCGTCACGCAATCACTTTTCTGCGATCCGCCTTCACGATTATTTGCACTATTGGGAGATATTCCTGGCCCATTTCTTGATGAAAATCGATCGCAATATTATTTCAAGCCTTCAATATAGTCTTCTTACTTTGCGCGCGAGTTGGTTAGTGTGATGTCTGTACAGATTTTACCAACGTAATAAAAGTAGATGACGTGAATAACAGTGATGGTATAGAAAGCTTAAAACGGCAGAAATCGCCAGAAAATACGACGGATACACAGGGTATGAG